TCACAGAATATGTTAAGAACTATTAACTGAAGGGTTCTTCAGATTCAGCATTAAGGCAAACATTAGGATTTTCTCTGACATACCATGAGAGAAAAGAGTTCCTGTAGAAGCCTGAAAAAAAGATGATTGTTTTAAAGACATGCAGCATTATTGCTGCCACATATTCCAGAGTCTTTTATTTTATTTTTTTAAAATAAATGCTGCCTCACTAAACATGTCCAATTCCCCTTTTATGCCATGATAAGATTTAGTATCGAGTTGCTCGATCATCCTCATCTTTCATGATACCTATTCAGGTTTCTTTTAAGATTTTGTAAAATACAGTCCAATAATTAGATCTAATACTTAAACGCTACTTTGATGTAGAGACAAACTGTGAAGGTTTGCAGAATATAAACATATTACAAATTAGTACAATTTAAGTAATGAAAAAGTGGAGTCTAGGCAATGAAAAATCCAGAAGTACTGTATTATACATGATCAGCTTCTTTTCAAAATCTGTTTCACCTTTTAATTTATATTCACTTTGGTGCTGAAGTTGTCAGACATGACCAAATCAGATATTCCCCATCTTATATCTATATATTACATTTCTTTAACCTTTTGCTAATGGGTTGAATTTTTATTTATTTTTTTATTCTCCTTTGACAAGCTAGTACAGATAAATGTAATATCAATAAAATAAAAATAGAGTCAGGTCCAAAAAAACACCAATATAATAGCATTATAAAACATTGGGGCCTAGTTTGGCCTCCCTTCAGCAGCTTTTCCTAATAATCTGAACAGAGAAAATCTCTCTAACCAGCTGTCCCTCCACTCTGATCTGCCTCCAAAGTATCAGTTGCCTAGTGTTTATTGCAGTGATGGCGAACCTTTTAGAGACCAAGTGCCCAAACTACAACCCAAAACCCACTTATGTATCATCGGGTGCCGGGTGGGTGTGGCCCATTGGGTGGGTGTGGCCCATTGGGTGGGCATGGCTGCAGTGGTAATGGCAGACTAGGTGGGACTAAAAAGTTCAATCAATCAATTCCAACTTTGTGAGATCTTTTTTTTTCCGCGAATAGTTGAAATTGATTGATTGATTGAACCCCCCCCCCTTTTTTTTTTTTGCACACGGCAGCAGAGGCCTAAAGTGAAAAGGTTTTATAAAACCCAGCTGAAGGCCTAGGACTGGGGCGATGGCATGCATGCCCACAGAGAGGGCTCTGTGTGCCACCTGTGGCACACATACCATAGGTTCGCCACCATGGGTCTATTGTCTTGATGGCACACAAATTGAAGTGGACAAGAATATGATTTTCTTGAGACTGAAGAATGAAAGAACCAGGATGCATTCATTTTCAGATCATTATATGTATGCTTCCTATTAGTTCTAAATCATTTCTGTGAAGTTTATAGATATTCAAGTATGCAAAATGAAGAAATGTAATTGGTTTTCATGGAAGCCAAAAGGAATTTATACTATTTTAGGTTTCTGAAATAATATGGACTAAATGCCCACATTACCTACAATGCTTTATTGATTGAAAATACATTATTATTTGGCGTGTTAAGTTTATTCTCCACTGCAGAGTGCTAGGATTATTTTATCTTTTAAAATACACTTTTTTGTAGAAATGAATTAGTCCACTCTTGAGATCCAATTATTGCACAACTAGAACAACTGTTACCTATAATATACAAGTGCTGTGTTTACTTGCTTTTAACAGATGCTGTTGAGAATGTAACAGATTTATCCCAGTTAATACTGTACTCATTTAAATTAATATACACTCTGATCACTATTATCAGCCAATCTTGCAAAGCAGATATATTCTATTACATAGCTGGTTTATACCCATTTGTTGTGCATTTATTTCCATGTGCAGACAGTCAGTGTTCTAAACAGTATATTGGGAAAATTGGCAATGTCTAGCATTGCTCTTTTAGAAAAGTATCTGTTTTAACGTTTGAATTTAAGTCGGGGGATTTAAAAATTGATTCTCATTTTAAGCTTGGGACTCCAAAAACATTGTGTAAAGTCAAATATATCTTTTATAAATGTACATTTGGTTTTAAGACTTTGAAATGTGCATTGTTGCGGTTTATCGTGAAAACAGTTGTAAATGTAGATCATGCTGGAGTTCATTATTAATATGATACAGTTGTAGAGACTTAAGGAAAGCAAAGAAAAATACAAAAATAAGGTTTCACTGAACTGATTCAATAAAGCCTTGTTTTCAGAATTTAATACAATAGAAATCATTTGTCCAACAGTGATACATACATACATACCTCCGTACAACGACTGAAATCATGTACAATGCTAAGCTGTACATAGTTCAGATTCTGGTTAAAAGTAATAAAACTTCCTGAGTCTGTTAATTTTCACACATGCCAGCATTTTTCCAAGCCTGATGAAAGGTGCAGAAAATAATATAAAGTACAGAAGTGATAGATAAACAGAACAATGTCTTCTATGTGCATTTCTGTTTCTCAAGCTCTATGGACTTGCATGGAAGAAACAAAGATAACAAAGATTAGCCTTTCTCTCCCTGCATTTGAGAGTACCAATCCTGACTGGATTTCCACATTTTTGTTTAAAATAAGAATAAATAGAAAAACATATATTACTTCAAATAGAAATATGTACCACTGAGAGTAGAGTAGTGTAGTGTAGGAATGGAATAGAATAGAATAGAATAGAATAGAATAGAATAGAATAGAATAGAATAGAATAGAATAAGAATTGCATTTTCAAAATGAATAAGTAGTATTCTGTTCATTCTGAAAAAATCACCTGCATTTTTTGATTCATATAAAAATTCATTTACCAGTTAATCTTTGCAAAACTATTCCTGTTGTCAGAATTCTTTTGTTTCTCAACTGGTCTATAAAAGATTAGTGAAGGAAAAGATTTGTTTTTGCCTTTTAAAAAGTAATGTTATAATATTAACTTTACATTAGACACAGATTACATGACATCTTGATTTTTATTAATTGAGAACATCAGTGGAACAGGGAGTAATATAAAATAAAAGAACGTATCTTTATTTCTGCTCTATGACAAGTTTAAATTCTAGGTCACAGGATAAAAGGTTTAAACATATCTATAATCAGTGATAATTGAATTGTGCATATTGTGTTCTATAACAATTATTAATTTGTTCCAAACATCTTGCTTCTGTATATGATGAAATATTCTGGAGTATAATCTTAAAATATAATAAAACTATTTTTGTGGGTGATTACATTAATTTTGAGTCAATTTAATTTAGTTTTCTAGCTTCTTGTAGCAGTTCCACAGAATGATTGCCATGGGCTGGTTGTTCATAAAATGATTAGCACTGTGGACATTAATAATCATAAAATGTGCATTTATCCAAAGCCTGATAGTTGGATTGCTGTCTCTCATGATGGTGCCAACATCCAGCTTACCTTACCAGATGGACACAGTTTTAAACAAACACTGAACTATGGGCAATTGCTACTTTTGTGTATAAAATGACAATATGCATTTTTTTAATGATTACAAATATTGCAGAAAAAAAATCCTTACTGCATCTTTACAGAAAAGGCAGTTGAGTAGGTGACTCAGAATATTGGCTCCATTTTAAATTCACTTTCTCCTAAACACATGATCTGGACCAAATGCAATATTTAAACAACCACAGAGACAACATGAGAGAATAGAAATATTCAGAGATGTACCATGTTACTTTGTTATACAGAAGGGAGAAAAAATGGTTTCTTCCTAAGCATTCTTTTTCAGTAAGAAATCTTTATTTTTTCATCTCTCCAAGAATTGTTCCAAAGCTAAAGTGCCTTAGATAAACAATAGTATGAAATGATAATAAAGTAAAATATATTCCTTGGAAATAAACATAAACATCATAAAACTAATTGCATAGGTCTATGTGCTTGTGAATGGTGCATATTCTGGTTTAGTGACCAAGGATCAGTCTTTAGCTTAGCATGAGATACAAATGCATGAAATAAATACAAGAGAGTTAAATTAATGTCATGAACCTAGCAATGAATTTTATCTCGTAGGAGTATAATATGCACCCGCCAAAAGAAAGGAGAATTAAATTCTTCATTTTTCAGAAGTATTGAGTTGTTTAGTACAAAACATATATACGTGGCAGTTGCCAGAAGTCTAGATTGATTTGAAGGCAGAAAAAAAAAGAAATTATTTATAATTTATAAAAGCAAATATCATGGTTATATTTATACACTCTACGCATATGTACATATATCTTTATTTGTGTACATATACACACAGAGAGAGAGAAAGAGAGAGATGTGTACAGATAGTCATATAAGTATATATACCTGCATGCATGTACACATATACATGTTGATAATTTTGCTGGAACATTAAGAGAAGCTATTTAGGGGAAGGCTTTGATTTGGAAATAGCAGAGGTAGTATAAAACAAACTGAAGTAAAGAAAGGAATCTCCTGCCTTCATAAAAGTAGTGCATTGGTCCTGTCTGTTGAAGAGAATGGGCTAAAGATTGCATATTTGAGGGAATAGTGGCTGCTTTAAGAGAAGATAGGAAACTACTTGTATTTGCATCTTATACTACCTTTTCTTACTGCACTAAGTGACCATTCAGGGCATTAACCTCCAATGTCTCCTCTTGTGAGAAAGCTGTTTCCCCCCCCCCCAGTCTTATCCTTGGATTGGTATTGTTCCACATCAGTGAGATGGCATGTCTGTGCATATTGGCTGTGGTTTTTGTGTATTTTATTTTCTTAATCTTTATCAGGGCTTCCTATAGTGCATTCTATTTCTATTATTTTAGAATAATAGAACTCCAAGAACCTAATCAAATGAAAGCTATTTTCTATAATTATTATTTTTTTAATTAGGGGTAGTAATGGCAGTAATTACCTTTTCATATACATTCCAGAGGTAATATCCCCCCTCACCCCCAAACAATTTCCTGTTAATACATTAAACCGTTCAGCATTTCAACCCCATGGATCTTTTCTTGTTTCTTTGTATGCAGAGAGTTTGGATGGCGAGATCCGGAACTACCGGAAGTTATTCAGATGTTACAGCATCAGTTCCCCTCTGTACAGTCTAATGCTGCTGCTTATTTACAACATTTATGCTTTGGAGATAATAAGATAAAAGCTGAGGTAAGAAAACCATCTAATAGGAGGGGTGTGTTTGTGCATGTGTTCGCATCGATGTTGCAATTCTGAAGTCGCTTTATCAGACTGGTATTAAGTACATTTGAGGGCTAGCTTCATGGATTATGTTTTGGGGGAATAAAGCAAATTGTCCTTTTTATTGTAAAGGTATGTGCAACGTTCAGTGCTCTCTGTGTTATGAAAAATGTGTACATCAATTTTGATACTACTTTTTGCTTATTTTTTTCCTTACAGCTATGTCTTGATGAGAGGGGAAATACAATTTCATCTGGTTTAGTTAGGTTAAAGAGAAATAATTGGTTCTCTAAAATATCAATTTTCAAAAGCTTCTCAATATAAAATCGAAGTATTACTACTTTATATTAGCCTGATTTAAGCATCCTTGTTTAAAAAAAAAGCAAGTACCTCTGATTTTTGTGGAATATGACAGTTGACTGATCCAGACAATTTTGTCTTCAGTTGGTCTTGAAAGCAAATGAAGGACTTTTATTATTTCTTCTCAGAAATACGTGAGGGCATGTAGCATTACTCTACACCTCTTTCTACAAGGGACTGTTCTAAGAATAGATGATTTATTTAGTTCACATAGGGCAATGGGAGCTAAATGGGAGAAATCATATCAATGGGGGTGCTTATAAAATTTTCACCAAAAACTGTACAGGTAGTCCTTGTTTATTGACCATTCTGTCAATGACTAGTCAAAGGTATAATCGCTCTGAAAAACAAGACTTTAAAATGGTCTTCAAAGTTACAGCCATCACAGTGTTCCTGTGTTCATATGGTTATGTATTTGGCACTTGGCAAGTGGCTCACATTTATGACAGTCACAGTATCCTGCTGTCATGTGATCTCCATAGGCAACTTCACAGGCAGCTTCCGATAAACAAAGTCAATGAGGAAACCAGCAGGAAATCACAAGCCACAGTCACGTTGCAATTATCGACCTGTGGTAATTTGCTTAACTGTATCCAGAGCTAACAAAACTGCCATTGTAATTTGGTGCTTAATGACCATGCTGCTTAGTGATGAGTTGTGAATCCCTGTTGCAGCTGGTAAATGAATATATGTGGTCAGTAAATGAGGACACCTGTAGTTGTAATTTTGTTTTAAAAAGATTTTGCATTTCAGAAAGATTATTATTCTCATATGTATAGTTTCCCAATATGTTTTCATTTTCACGATCAGTTTCTAGTTAATCTTTCATTAAGATGATTATTCATCTCTTGACTTGGAAAAGAAGCTAGTAGGAATAGTATCTTTAAAATGTACACTGGCAGGTCCTTCCCATTGACAACAAACTGTTCACTTTTAGGCTGCTTATGTATGGTGTTCTTTTGCCATTAACTTCAGGAAGTCCTTTGGGAGCCTTAATGATTGAACAGCTGATCAGCCCTTTCTGCACATTAGCTTTTCTGATTAGGTCTTATAGATTGCTCTTCTGTTCAGTCAGAAACTGTGCTTTTTCTGACTTCTTGCTAGAGTTGCAGTAACTCGGCATCACAAAACTTATTTTTCCATATTGTGAGCAAACAAGATTTAAGCTATGAAATGAGAACTTGATACAAGTGGCATACTTCCATTTCAGACCTCAAGCAATCCTGGAGTGCTTGATTTGGAATCATAAAATAAAAAGGATCTTAGAGATCATCTAGTTCTGGGCATTATTATAACATCTCTGACAGATGGCCATCTAGCCTCTGTTTATACACCTCCAGCAAAGGAATCCACCTCTTCCTGAAGCAATCTATTATATTGTTAAACAGTCCTTATCAGTAAGAAATTCTTCCTAATATCCAAACTGCTTTCTTATAATTAAACTCAAAGTTTCCTCTCTCGTCTTCTGGAACAACACTAAACAGAAATGCTTCCTGTCTCCTACATGACAGCACTTAAGCTACTTTAAGACAGCTGTCATGTTTCTCTGCAATCCTCCGTTATCAGGCTAAACATAGCTAACAATTTCTAATGTTCTTTGTATTTCTATTATAATGATGGCTGCTCTCCTCTGGACATAGTCCAGTTTTCCAGTGTGCTTCCTAAACATAGTGCCCAGAACTGGATGCTATATTACTGGTGCGGTTTAACCAGTACAGAATAGAGAGGAAAGATTACTTCTTTTGATCTTTAAACCAAAGCTCAGTTAATGCAACTTAGAATTGCTTTTGCTTTTTTTACTTTTCAAGTGGATCACAGTGTTGGCTAATGTTCAGTACGTGAATCATTAAAATATCCTGATAGTTTGCATGCACATTTTTACCCAGTATATGGTGTCCTCCGTCATATCTTTGATTTTTTCCCCGTTTGGAGAAGGACTTTCCTTTTGTTTCTGTTTATTATTCCAGCTTGCCAAGATCTTTCTGAACCTTCATATTGTCCTCTAACATGTTTGCTACAGTTTATCTTTTTGTTATCCACAAATCTCATAATCTTATTTTGTAACCCCCTATCCAAATCACTTATAACTATTTGAATAGTACAGGAGCTAGAACAGAGTATTGTGGTACATTATTTAATTACGCCTACCATCTGGATGTGGAACCATTAACATATGCTTGTTGGGTACAATTGTTTAGGTAGTATGCATATAATAGTAGCAAAGACCAATTCATATATTACCATTTTCTCAACTAGGATCTCACCTTTGCTGAAGTCAAGACTTATTTTTCTCATGATCAACTAAACCAGCCACTCTAACAAAAGAGAAGATCAGATTGATTTAGGAATCCTTTACTTCAGATCTAGCTCTGACATTAGCTAACTACAGCAGCTGCTTCAGGCATAAACCTTAAAAGATGACAAATGACAGCAAGATTTTGAAAAATAAAATTTGTTGCCCTGCCATCTACGTTGCTGCAATCAGATATGGTAAAATATGCTGTTTCATTACAAGTGCTAAAATAAAGTTCTAATACCAGTTCAGTTCACTTCTGAATATGAAATAGAAGGAAGAAGGGTTGTCATTCATTGTGGGAACAAAATGTTTGAGGCAACCCTGATTTAGCCTCACTTCAGATAGTATAACTGTGATACTTATATTGTAGATTATAGCTTTTTTGTTTTGACAGTATTTTCTCACATTAAATTCTTTCCTCTACTGAGCTCCTTTGTACAATTTGCAGAAAGTGCCTGCTTCAGAATCACAATTAGAGATACAGGTAGTCCTTGTTTACTGATTGCTCATTCTGCAACCGTTCAAAGTTACAACGGTGCTGAAAAACTAACTTTATGGCCAATTTACGCCACTTACTACCTTCACAGCATCCTATCAGTACTTGTTCTGTGCCTAACCTATTCACAAAACACTGTCAGTTTGCTTTTATTGATTTCATTAAGAAGGCATTTAAATTTTTCTTTTCCAAATTTATATAAGTGGATTAAATGATTCTGACTAGGAATGGCTGTATTAAAAAGCTCCGGATGATTATTCTGGTATTATTCAACTTTGCCATGTCTCTTTTTTAAAAATATTTTCTTTCTGAACTGGATTACATATTTCAGCTTCTAGCTAAGAATTGAAACCACAATGAATGAAGGTAGAAAGGCATAGCAAAAGTCCAAACTAAGAATGCATTGTTTGTCTGAATAATTTTTAAGCACAGAATTAATACAGGGCCAAAATATGTCAGAAATTACCCCGACTGAGCCAAGGGGGAAAAAAAAAGTAAATTTAGTTTGGGATCAGACCAAAGACTATTCTAGACTAACAATCTTTTTTGCATCCTTGCCAACCAGCAGCTGGCCTATAAGGCCAGGTTACCTTTGCTAGTATGAAAAAAAATATATAGTATAGTACAATCATATGTCCATTCTTAGATTAAGTAATAAATCATTTTCATTTAATATGTAATAAAACATAACAATTTATGTTGCTAATCACATAAAATTCACTTCCTACCCTTCTGCAAAAAATTCAAGGCAATTCTATATTTTGGGTGTTGTTGTTTTTTTTTAAACCACACAAATTATAACAAATATATTAGATTAAAAGGATAGTTTTGAAGACAAGCCCTGATTTTCACCAATCTCATTCATTATTGCACTACACTTCATCTTAAAACCTTAGCAACATTTTGAATAGTTCATTTATTAAATGTTTGCTAGTGGCATTAGTTAGTATTATTTAGCAATTCATTTCAGAGCATGCCATCAACAGATGGGATTAGATTTTACAAAAGTCCCAACAGCTAATGATTTGTTGGTCCACATAAGTTCTTGTGACAATAGTAATTAAAATGAAGCCTATGCTTTCTTTGAATTTGGTAATTCTGCAAACGTGAAGAATTAATGACAAGTTCTTTGCAAAACAGTGGCCAGACAAGAAGGCATTAAAAGACACGTACTAGCCCTTGTGCTTCTTATTTTTCACTCATTTTTTAAAAAAGAATTCAATTTCCTGAAGAGGTGTATATTCCTGCCCTTTAACTCCCATATCACTACTTTAAAGAAGGACAATACAGGTAGTCCTCGACTTACAACAATTCACTTAGTGACCATTCAAAGTTACAATGGTACTGAAAAAAGTGACTTATGACCATTTTTCACACTTATGACTGTTGCGGCATCCCCATAGTCATGTGATTTACATTCAGATGCTTGACATCTGTTTCATATTTATGACAATTGCAGTGTCCTAGGGTCTTGTGACCTTCTTCTGCGACCATATGACAAGCAAAATCAATGGGGAATCCAGATTCACTTAACAACCATGTTACTTATTTAACAACGGCAATGATTCGCTTAACAAATGTGGCAAGGAAAATCGTAAAATGGAACAAAATTCACTTAACAAATTTCTCACTTAGCAACATAAATTCTGGGCTCAATTTGGCTGTAAGTCAAGGACTACCTGTATGTGCTTATGATAATCACATTTTGGTTGTCCGAGAAATGTTAATCCTTAGATAGTAATTGTAGCTTTAATTTCATTTGAACTCATTTCTTAGCTTAATTACATCCACTCCAGGACCTATTTTGTCTAACTCAGT